GAATTTATGGTCACAAAGTCAAGGTCAAAGGTCATTTCAGGTCAACAGACTTAGACTATGTTGTGGCATCATTATCGAAAACTTAACCTAAGAATTTTTGATATAATTTTGAAAGTATAAGTTCTTAGTCAATGAAACTTGGACTACAGGGTAATCAAGTATCCCCAATCATGTGAGTAGAATTCATGTCACTAAGTTAAGGTCAAAGGTCATTTTAGGTCAACAAACTTAGACTTTTTTGTGGTATCAACATCAAGATTTTGAATTTTTAGCAAATTTCCAAAGTGTTTGTTCAAATCCCATGAAACTTGTACCCAAGGGTTATCAAGTATCACAAATCATATACACAAATTCCAGGTCACAAGGTCAAAGGTCATTTTAGGTCAGTAGCCTTGGATTATGTTTTCACAACTTAATATGAGAATAAATGAATTAATTTTTGTTATTTGTTCATGATTCTCAATCAATATTCACTTCAAAATGCTGATTATATTCAAGAGGATTTCATTTTTTGGGGGCCTGCTAATGGGCCACCCTGCCTATAATAATGTTCCAACTTCAAATCAATTGCGTAATGTAGGCGAGACCGCCGAGAGCGTTTCCCTTGTTTCAACTTACCGATGTTAGAAAGAATACTTTGAAAATTCAAATCGTGCTGCCTCTCAGCAAGTATACCGCGCTAGATGTCAATACGCATCAGCACGTTTTACTCGTTACTTTACTAAAACCGTCTCAAAAAAACTAACAAATGCACGAAATTAATGGTTAAACAGAGAGAGAAATGCTCAAGATATTTCAAGAGCTTTAATATATTTTGATTTATCATATTCAAATAAATGCCACCAGGGGAGAACCAGGGGAGAACCAGGGGAGATCCATGCTAGCAGAAAACTACTAACATGGAACTGTGACAACAGGGGCCAGATATACAGCATATACTTACCCCACAAATTTTAACCCCATTTTCCCCCCAACTGATGATCTGGCCCTGCATGTGAACATGGCGTCACATCCAGTGCAAGTGCAGTCTCCTCCATATATACCTTACCAACAGATAAAGAGTTTTTAGGACAGTTAGTACAACTTATCCCCTCCTCACCAACATTTCTTGTGACTTATGCATAAACATGATGAGCTGATAAATAATCATTGCCTGAACAATTGATTTCCCACCATGCATCTTAATATATGCACAATCAGAGAAAGTTATAACAATCACTTTTCAATGTGTGAATAGATAAAAGACTTTTCAGCTGTTCCTCTATTTAAATACTCAAAGAATGATACTGGCAAGACTTGGGCATGCATGATTTGGTAATGGCATTTAAATTTCTTAGAGTGTACACAATAGAGCAAGGTGTTTAATTGTTATGGAAATCCTCTTTACATGTGCAGTATGTGATTATTTGCTTTCTTTGCTTTCTTGTAAGCTCTTCTGTGAGCTCTTCCCTTTCTTCTGGACATTCTAACTATTTCCTTTGATAAATACATCTTTGATTGCTGCCTGCAACACAAGTGTGAAGTTCACATGTGTTATCAATGCTCTCTTCATCAATAAATAGATTCCATGGAATACATTCAATCGTTTTCTGTAAATCTACGCTATCTGCTTTGTGAAATTGATGGAGAACCCTAGGAAGCAACCGTGGCACACGACTACAGTCCAATTTAAATGGAACCAAGTTGAATGTAAGGTTTTAATTGCACTGATCCAAGTGGTTACTTGTTTATTTTACACTGTACATTTAGCTTTCCACTCCGATATGCTTCAGCGCACTTCTGACCTACATTCATTCTCTCATGTCTGCTAGCTCTTGGCTTCTATTGTTCTGTCCCTATTCATTCATCCTCATGCACATTACCTGCTATAGCACCACACACACACACACTCTTCCTATCTATTGCCTATTCAACCCAGCACACTACATGTATATGCACATGGCACTCTATCTTTTACAAGCTTCTCTATTGGTTACCTACTTATTGTCCAATCTTGTGATTGGTGATTATTGTTTCATGGACTGCATGTCAGCCATCTTGGCAGCCATTTTGTGGTTGTAATAAAATCTAACAGTGCAGCTCAAGTCCTCAAACATGTAAGACCACTTTTTTTTGGTGTGGGTCCTTACATGAATATGGAAACCACTGCATAAAATGATGGATTTGAAAGAAGAAATATGTGGGGTGATAAGAATAAAGGACTTATTTAGTGCATCATGGAAGGTAGCATTAGATGATGGGGGACGATAGCATACACCCAAAAAGAGCTTGCCTTCGTTTCGTGGTAAACTTAATTGAATCCATAACAACTCGCAGCTGGGAATCTCAAACTCGGGGCGGTGAATCGTTTTCATGCAAAAAGTACACCTCCTCTGTTGTGATTGCGGTCTTTACGAAAGATTTGATATTGTTGTACGTCTAAGAGTTCACCATCGCAGGGATCAGAGTTCATTCATCTATTTCATCGTAAGTAACTCTCACTTTCAGGTCATTCAGTTTATTACCAAGGGAACAGGCATTCAGTGGTAGAAAATTGAGTGTATGACGTAACGAATTTGAATGTTCAGGTCCCGGATTATGCTCCACGTCACCAGACATGATCAATTCAAAAGTGGAGTATTTGATGTTAATTGAAAGGTGGAAATATCATTGTTTCAAAGATATCTAGTTTTTAAATATCAACCTTTGGTCAGTTGCTTTAAACTCTTATGAGTTCAGTGGTTGTGGAAATGCAAAGAGCATAAAGTATGTACCGTAGCGCCATTTTGAAATGAGTAGATAAGTTGATATGTTGCTGGGTGTTAATCCATGTGTTATGTGTTTCCTTGTCTGGCTTTGGTTCTGCTGACTTTCAAAGTTCCCCATTTTAGATTTTCTAACGTCTTTGTAACACTTGATTCCCTGTCATAGTCCCTCATTTTGAATGTCTAGTTTGTCCTGGTCTGACTTATGCTGTGGTTCCCATATACTGTACATGTAGCTGCATAGAACTCTAATTTGGGCCTACATGTAATTTGATGAAGTTTGGTCAATATGTGTGGCCCAACCGAGTCCCTTTGAATTCAGGTAGGGGTGGTGTTGCACTTCTTCCAGGGTGACGTTACCCAACCTGTACTTGGTTTGAACTGGTTTCTTTTCATGGGTTATTTAATTTGAAAACTGTGGCTGCAATTGCTGCTGTATTAAAAACTGTTGTATTGATTCTCAACATTTCAAACACCACTGTTCAAAACTCAACTGATTTCACTAAAAATCGGTACTTGAGTGACAATTCATGACACAGTAAAATACAATTTTTGTACCTTATTTCCATAAATTACCTTAAATATGCAAATGAGTGAATGAGTGAAAAAATAATTACCATAGTAATCTATGTTATAAGACGGTGTCAAAAATCCACGTTGCTACAATAATCACAAAAGGAGGCGTGAGCTTAGTTAGCTTCCTTTTAAAGATACTATGTCCCTTTTGCGGCCAACATCATCTTAGATGCTACTTGCAAGTGTCGGCTTGCATGGTGATGTAGATATTCAGTAGGCTTGCGGTTGCACCATGTGTGAGAGAGAGAGAGAGGGAAAAGGACTCTGACTCTGTAATCTTTCTTGAGGGTTTGTTAGTCCTGAAAAGGACTGTTGGTATAGTCTTGAAAAAGACTGTTGGTTATCTTTCTTAGCTATAGTTCTAAGGAGAACTATAGCGCTTGGAGAGAGGCGGGAGTTGGCTCGACGTTTCGAACAGGTTGACTATCCGTCGTCAGGAGTGGAGAATAGCTGGCGTGCGTCACGATGGGGAAAAATGCATGACCGTGTGGGCTTGAGTCATCGGGGAGTGGACATAGATGGTCTGCTGGTCAGTCTGGCTGTCCGTCTGGGCTGGAGTCTCCGGGTTACGGACGTCGGAGAGTTTCGAATCCATGAGTGGGGTGTGCTGTCGGCGAGACGCTGTGTGTGTCCCTGACGTAGGCGTCGTTGTAGTCTGCTGTTGTCTGCTGTGCATTGTAGCTGTGAGGCTGGCGGCTGCTTTGAGGGTTCGGCGGGTGGCGGTGGTTGATGTACGGGTGTCTGCTGGGGTGGTGAAGGCGGTGGTGGAGGAGGAGTGACCGGGTAGGGGTTTCCAGATGTCATTGATGTATAATCCTGAGTCTTGGGGAACGGTTTTGTGGCGGTGAATTTTGATGGCTTCCAGGATTCGGCGTGCATGCCAGTGCTTCATTATGGAGATGAGATGACCGTTATCCCATTCGATGGTGTGTTCGTGTTGCTGGGCGCGTTTGACGATAGCGGACTTATCCCAATCGCTGAGTCTGAAGCTGGTTCTGTGTTCCTTGAGTCTTGTTTCCCGATTTCTTCCCGTTTCACCAATGTAGACTTTTCCACATTCGCATGGTATTTTGTAGACTCCAGCTTTCTTGTGGTTTGGATGCTTGTCTTCGTGGGAGTGGAGTATCGAATGGAGTTTGTTGGAGGAACTGTGTCGAACTTGGATGTCTGCTGCTTGAAGGATATGCTGAATCTTGTGAGAGGCTTGACCGATATAGGGAAGGACAACAGTTTGTTTCGGTGGTGTAGCTGCGGGTTGGTTCTCTTCAGGGATGGTTTTGGCTGCGGGCTTGTTGGTGGGAGTCTTGGATTAGATCTTATGTCTTGGGTATTTGTTGATGGCAGTTAGGGCTGTGGTGACATGCATTGGCGCAAAGTACATTGAGATATCTCTCTCTATCTCTCTCTCTCTCTCTCTCTCTCTCCAGCCTCTCCTCCCCTGCCCCCTCTTTCGCTCTCCCTCTCTCTCTTACCCTCCCTCTCTCTCTCTCTCTCTCTCCAGCCTCTCTTTCTTACTCTCCCTCTCTCTCTTACTCTCCCTCTCTCTATCTCTCTCTCTCTCTTTCCAGCCTCTCCTCCCCTCCCCCTCTCTCACCCTCCCTCCTCTCTCTTACTCTCCCTCTCCCCCTTTCTCACTCTCACTCACTCTGTTCTCTTCTTTTCTCTGTTTATCGAGTATAGGCCAAGCTGCAGAGGGAGAAGAAGATGAAGGTGGAGAAAGCTAAGGTCATTGAGGTCAAGGTCAACATGTGGATTGAGGAAAGAACGACTAAGGAGCAGAAATCGAGAAAAGCCAAAGAAACAACTTGAAGCAGAAGAGAAGAGGAGAGTCCAGGAGAAAGCAAAGGTGAGTGTTAATTAAAGGGGAAGTCCACCCTGATATTAAGTTGCTTTTAATAAAAGCAGGAAAATGAAAGAAACAGGTCAGTGAAAGTTTGAGCAAAAACCGACTAGAAATAAGAAAGTTATGAATTTTCAAAGATGTCATCATTGAAACACAAATTGGCAACACTGTGACATATCTTGCAAGCTCCTCTCCAATTTTATAAACTTTTGTTTTCTCACTGATTGGTTAGGGAAAAGATGATTCATACAGGGGTTGTATAAAAATATCTTTGAAATAATTATATTTAGGGTGAACGTATCATTGCAAATTTTCTTAAAACCTATCTGCACTAGTTTGGCCAAGAGGGATTAGACCTCCCTGCGTGGTCACTGACAAGTGGTTATCAGCTCTAAATTGACATAGGAAAAAGGAACCAACTGTCACTGCGCATAGGGACTTTCATGGTGTTAGTGATATGCGCTATACAAATAACGTTCATTATTGTTGTTATTATTACTGCTTAGGCATTGTTTGCTATATCGAGGGTGTAAGTAGCTATGAGTAGTGCAGTGGGGCTTTAACGGAAGTATAGGTTTTTGAAGTTTTTAAGTACAGGGCAAATAGCAGGGGAGCTTGAAAATAAATGCAAAATATGGCATAATGTTGCCAATTTGTTTTGCAACTTCAAAAATTAATATCTTTCTCATTTTTAATCAAAATTTAATCGAAACAAGAGACCAACCTTTGTTAACTCCCATTGAAAGATGTCACTTAAAATGAACCCTTGTGATTGTATTATCATTCTTTCTAGTCTTTAAAATAGTTCTGTTTAAATCTGTGAGATTCTGTTTTCTGCAATTGCCAGAATAAGAAATCACCTTTCATCTACCCTTTACTTTGAAGGAGAACTATGGAGAATGGAGGAGCAAAAAGAAGGCTGCAAAAGAGATGAAGGAGAAGAAGGAGAAGGAAGAACAAAGAGCTGAAGCAGAAGCCGAGAGGAGGGAAGAAGAGGCAGAAGATGCATACCTGAACTTAAAGTGGAAAGAAGAGGCCAAGACGAGACCATTTCCCCTAGCTACTCAATGTGGCTTTCCTCAGGGCTCTGTCAAAGGTAAACCAGTCAAAGTTACTGCCTTACAGGCACGGCGGAGCACCCCAATTTGCATATCATAATAGCGGCCCGTTCTATTTGAATAACCAACGGACATCTGCGTGAATCCGAACATGTGTGTGCTAGAATGTCAAATCTTAAAATTCGCGTTGCGCCTTTATTACTGCCAATATCGCTATGAAACTTTCCATACTAACTATAATTATTATAAATTTGATGTCATTGAAATAAATACGAAATTCCATGGAATAAAACTCGAGATATTAATGTGTTTTGAGCTTCGCCCCTCGAAAAACACGACGTCTACTTTTTAAGTTTGTGACCCTATCAAGCAATGCACGAAGAAGAGACTTGGTATGAATATTCATTAGGGTTGAATCCATACATGGGCGAAATTTTCGCTTCACCGCTGTATTTTTTTTGGTTATAACGTTCTTTTTCATGGGGCTTCATTTTTAAAAGTTGTAGTCAGCGAACTCATTGAACATGACGTCATCGATCTCAGCGATGTACTGCGCATGCAGTGCACGTGTGCAGTCGGCTGGCAAGACATGTATAGCCAACGCACACGCGAGGTTCAGACATGACACACATTTGAATGTATGGGACTGGTCAAACAATTTTGCGACAACGAAGGATTATTTTTGTTCGATGAGATTCGGACATTGGGGTATGTTTTTCTCTGTTGCGACCCTATCAAGCAACTATGAAAAGAGATATTTCACAAGGATTGAGATTATTAAATTTTCTTTCTGTTCATACGAGGCAATTCTTTCTCGCTCTAAAAGAAATGGTGAATTTTACGGTGATTTTGTATCTCATTTTTTTCGTTTTTGTTCGTCAAAACTATCCCTTAAATTTCACATTTTCTATGCATCAATAACTCTTTTTATACACATGAGTGTCTTGCAAATTTATTCAATACTCGATTTAGTAGCTTTGATTGGTGATATTCATCACATTAATGAAGAATTTGTCTTCGAAATTTGTTTACTTTTTTTCGCATCGATCGGTACACAATTGTTGATTTTATGCAAATGATGTTTACTGGACGAGAGTCGATCGCACGGTAATTGGGGTGCTCCACTGTGCCTGCTTATTCCCCTTTCACAAACCCAACTTAAAGGAGCATCATATAAGTGTGTGAATGGGACCACATAAAAACAATGAACATCAGTTTTGTGCTGCTATAGAATACGAATAATTGCCACAGCATAATCTTTTATATTATAATTTGAGTAAGGAAATCCTTTGATATTTGAAACTTTTAGGGTTTTGCACGCCTCGGGACAAAAAAATATCATTCCTTCTGATTGCAGATCATCGTCCGTTTTTAGGGCAGATTTACACGTTTCATTGGTTAATGTGTCCGAACCTAGCTTGGTGTTTTCGTTAGTTTTTTATCCAAATGGCAAAACCCCTATAAACTTCTATAAATAATGGTATCGTCCGTTTTTCGTGGAGATTTACTTGTTAATTTTATTGGTTAATGTGTCCGAACCTACGTTAATGTGTCCGAACCAAGGTTTTTTGAAAATGGCGAAACCATGTTTAGAACTGCCAAATAGTGTACATAGGCGCTTTTTGTGGTGTTTTTGTTAGTTTTTTATCCAAATGGCAAAACCCCTATAAACCCCTATAAATAATGGTATCGTCCGTTTTTGGGGGAGATTTACACGTTAATTTTCTTGGTTTATGTGTCCGAACCTAGGTTAGTGTGAAAATAGTTTTGTTATCTCTTTATTTAATACACAGCCTGTATAAGGGGGGGGGGGGGGGGCTTCCTCACCCTTTCCCTCGTGGCTGCACCAATCTTATGTTTTGTTATCTCTTTATTTAAAACACAGCCTGTAATAGGCCAGCCCCTTCCCCCCCCCCCCCCATGGCTACACCAACCACGTTTCCTTACGCTTTCTCGACTATGATACGTCCGACTAAAATTATAGTTTTGTCATCTCTTTATTTAAAACACAGCCTGTATTGGGGGGGGGGGGGGGGAGCTTCCTCACCCTTTCCCTCGTGGCTACCCCAATCTTATTTCCTTGCTCTTTCTGGACTATGATATGTCCAACTGAAATTAAAGTTTTGTTATCTCTTCATGTAATTCAGAGCCTGTATTAGGTGAGCCAGCACCCCCCCCCCCCCCATGGCTACACCAACCACGTTTCCTTACGCTTTCTCGACTATGATATGTCCGACTAAAATTATAGTTTTGTTATCTCTTTATTTGATATACAGCCTGTATTAGGCATGTCCCCCCCCCCACATTCCCGTCGTGGCTAACCAATCACATTTCCTTATTCTTTCTTAAGTATGATACGTCTGACTGTAATTAATTGTTTTGTTGTCTCTTCATTTTAGTGCCTGTATTAGGCAAGCCCCCCCCCCCAATAACTACACCAACCACGTTTCCTTACGCTTTCTTGACTATAATATGTCCGACTAAAATTATAGTTTTGTTTTTTCTTTATTTAATACACAGTCTGTAGTGGGGGGGGGGGGGGGGGGCTTCCTCACCCTTTCCCTCGTGGCTATGCCAATCACATTTCCCTATTTCTCAACAATGATATGTTCAACTAAAATTTGTTTTTAGTTTTTCTTTAATACAGAGCCTGTATTAGGCGAGCCCCCCTCCCCCTTCCCCGTGGCTATGTAAATCACATTTTCGTGCTCTTTCTTAACTATGAAACATAAAACTGAAATCATAGTTTTGTTAAATTGTATCTCTTTATTTAATACACAGCCTGTATTAGGGGGGGGGGGGGGGGCTTCCTCACCCTTTCCCTCGTGGCTATGCCAATCTTATTTCCTTACTCTTTCTGGACTATGATATGTCCAAATTAAATTAAAGTTTTATTTTATCTTCATGTAATACAGTGCCTGTATTGGGGGGGGGGGGGGGGGGGGGGCTTCCTCACCTATGGACTATGATACGTCTGACTAAAATTATAGTTTTGTTATCTCTTTATTTAAAACACAGCCTGTGTTAGGCCAGCCCCCTACCCCCCCCCCCCAACCCCTCTTTCTGGACAATGATACGTCTGACTAAAATTATAGTTTTGTTATCTCTTTATTTAAAACACAGCCTGTGTTAGGCCAGCCCCTACCCCCCCCCCTAACCCCTCTTCCCCTCGTGGCTACACCAACCACATTTCCTTACTCTTTCTCGAGTATGATACGTCCAACTGTAAGAAATTTTTTTTTTTCTCCTTATTTAATACAGAGCCTGTATTAGGGGGAGGGGGCTTCCTCACCCTTTCCCTCGTGGCTACACCAACCACATTTCCTTACTGTTTCTGGACTATGATATGTCTAACTGAAATTAAAGCTTTGTTTTCTCTTTATATAATTCAGAGCCTGTATTAGGCGAGCCAGCCCCCCCCCCCCTCATCCCCTAGTGGCCACACAAACCACGTTTCCTTACGCTTTCTCGACTATGATACGTCCGACTGAAAGTAAAGTTTTGTTATCTCTTTATTTAATACAGAGCCTGTATTAGGGGGGGACCTCTACCCTACATTCCCCTCATGGCTACACCAACCACATTTCCTTACTGTTTCTGGACTATGATATGTCTAACTGAAATTAAAGCTTTGATTTCTCTTTATATAACACACAGCCTGTATTAAGCTAGCCCCCCCCCCCCTCATCCAGTGGCTACACCAATTACATTTCCCTATTTCCCGACTATGATACTTCCGACTGAAATTATTATTTTTGTCTCTTTATATTACACAGAGCTTGTATTACGCTAGCTCCCTTTCCCCAGTGGCTACACCAACCACATTTCCTTACTCTTTCTGGACTATGATATATCCGACTGAAATTAAAGTTCGTTTTTACCTTCATGTAATACAGTGCCTGTATTATGCGAGCCCCCCCCCCTCTTTCCTCTTGTGGCTATGCCAATCACATTTCCCTTTTTCTCGACTATGATACTTCCGACTGAAATTAAAGTTTAGCTTTCTCTTTATATAACACACAGCCTGTTTTAAGCTAGCCCCCCCCCCTCACCCAGTGGCTACACCAATTACATTTCCCTATTTCCCGACTATGATACTTCCAACTGAAATTATTATTTTTTGTCTCTTTATATAACACAGAGCCTGTATTACGCTAGCCCCCACATTTCCTTACGCTTTCTCGACTATGATATGTCCGACTAAAATTATAGTTTTGTTATCTCTTTATTTAATACACAGCCTGTATTAGGAATGCCCCCCCACATTCCCATCGTGGCTAACCAATCACATTTCTTTACTCTTTCTCGAGTATGATACGTCCGACTGGAAATAAAAGTTTTGTTGTCTCTTTATTTTAGTGCCTGTAGTAGGCAAAGCCCCCTCCCCCCCCCCCATGGCTACACCAACCACGTTTCCTTACGCTTTCTCGACTATGATATGTCCGACTAAAATCATAGTCTCTTTATTTAATACACAGCCTGTATTGGGGGGGGGGGGGCTTCCTCACCCTTTCCCTCGTGGCTATGCCAATCACATTTCCCTATTTCTCAACAATGATATGTTCAACTAAAATTTGTTTTTAGTTCTCTTTAATACAGAGCCTGTATTAGGCAAGCCCCCCTCCCCCTTCCCCCATCGCTATGTGAATCACATTTCTCTGCTCTATCTCGACTATGAAACATCAGACTGAAATCATAGTTTTGTTATCTCTTTATTTAATACACAGCCTGTATTAGGAATGCCCCCCCCCCCCACATTCCCATCGTGGCTAACCAATCACATTTCTTTACTCTTTCTCGAGTATGATACGTCCGACTGGAATTAAAAGTTTTGTTGTCTCTTTATTTTAGTGCCTGTAGTAGGCAAGCCCCCTCCCCTCCCCCCCCCATGGCTACACCAACCACGTTTCCTTACGCTTTCTCGACTATGATATGTCCGACTAAAATCATAGTTTTGTTATCTCTTTATTTAATACACAGCCTGTATTTGGGGGGGGGGGGGGGGGCTTCCTCACCCTTTCCCTCGTAGCTATGCCAA